GTGACCCACTCCAAGGCTGAAGGCCCCTCTGGAGGACCCAGGTGTGCCTCCATCAGACATGCCAGCTCCATGGCCTGTCCTGCTGAGGGCTGGCAGCTGCTGGCTGCAAGGGCATCACTATGGGCACAGCTGGGGCTCAGCACCACCACTGCTGTGTGAGCTCCCCCACTGCTTTGCAAGGGAATAAACTTCCAGTGACCCTGGGAAGGGTTGGGCCACCTCTTTGCCATCCGCAGGGTGCTGCATCCCAGCTGCTGTGCCCACTCTGCTGCCCAGCCCCAACCTAACCCTACAGAGCTGCCAGGGAAGCCAGGCACTGCCCAGTCCCCATCCCACCAAGACTTCCTCACCTCTATTTGGATAACTTTTTCACCCGTTTTATTTATGAGGACTCCCCTCCTTCTGCCAACACTCTGAGTTTCCTCTCGCTTCAGCCTGGGAGGCCCATCTTGCTTTTTTATTCTTATTATTTCTCTCCCCCCCTAGCCTGGCCCCAGGCTTGCAACGGGTGCTGGCCAGAGCCTGCTTTTGTTCAGCCACGGGAGCAGATGGGGAGAGCGGCCGCAGGTGGGATGGGCAGTGATTCCTCCCCGTCCATCCAACAGCACCTGGCTCTGCCTGCACTTGCCCAAGCTCAGCATGTGGCTCAGTTGCTGACTCTCAGACTGAAAAATTAAAACAAAAACAACTATGAAAATCCTATTCAATAAAAATAATTTTTAAAAAATTCAGGAGAAAGTTACTGTCAGAAATGTTTGCCTGTGTTTAAGGTCACTGATGGGCCAGGGTTGGCAAGTGGCTGCTCACATTAGAGACAGCTGCAAGTGGGCCAGAATAACTTCATCCCAAGAGATTAAAGAGCTTGTTCAGCTCCTTGTGCTGCATCTGTCAGGCAAAGCTGGTTGCTCACTGCAGAAATGAGATTGGCTTTGCACTTTGAGGCAAAGCTGGATGCAGGCACCCTGGATGTGGGGATGGCCAGACCTGGCCACCCTGCACCACCTGGTCTCCCAGGCTGATGGGAACATCCCTTCTACCTCCCCTTCTCCTGCAAATGAGATGTAAGTCAGTCCCTGTGAGCTGAGTGGGTCAGGAGCCATCTCCCAGCAGCAGCAGGGGCTTCAGCCTGGAGGATGCTCAGCACTGGGTCCTCCTGGGCCAGTTCCTGCTCCAGGATCCAACCCTCTGCACATCTCAGAGGTATCAGTCCTTTGTTTCACCAGCTCACACGTGTCCTTCACCACGTGGCTCCTTGCACTTTGTCCAAGCAGCACCAGCTGGACACAAAGACACAACCTGCCCTAAACAGAGCAAAACCTGGGCAGTTTTCTGGGTATTTTCCTCCTGTTGGCTCCTGCAGCTCAGAGGCAGAAGTGAGCAGAGCTCCTCCAGAGGCCTGGCTCCTGTGGGCTGGGGATGCACAAAGGCTAAAACTCAGCATTCTGTAACTGCTTGATCACAACTGCCTGCTCCAGTGACACTACAGCAGATCCTATACAATCCCTATACAGTCCTTACACATTTCCATTGCCATAGACCATGGACCCACCAAAATGCTGACATGCCCTGTGTCTGGCCATGGCTCACCATGGGGTGATGTGACCTGAAATAAAGTGATCTGCAGGGCACTAAGGTGCTGGGGGCTGGGGCAAGAGACACAAGGCAGCATGAATGCCACAACAGAAGTGGGTAGGGCTGGAGGTGACACCTATGGGATGCTGCAGGCCTGGATCAAGGGAAGCAACCATCAAAAGAAAGGCCATGAGCAAAGTGCAAGAAGGTGGCCTGGGAGTCCCACAAGCCCTCCTGGGACCTGAGTTTGCACACATAGTACCTGGGAGGTGGACTGGGCAGGGGGTGCATGCTCATAAAAGAAAAGAGGAACAGGACATGAAAAATAGAGGGAGGAAAGCAAGGTAGTATGATGGGAAGCCCCATGGGGTGTGATGGGAAGCAATGGAGAGCGCTTGAGAGTGATGGAATGCCGTGAGGATCTGATGGAGAGCCACAAGGAAGTGCTGGAGAGCCATGGGAATGTGATGGAGAACCTCATAACTGTGAGAGCCCAGCTGCTGGGATCTCACTCCACAGCCCAGCCAAGCCCAGGGAACCAGGGCTCCCAAAACACACGGGACCCAGCCAGCTGTGTGGGGATGCTGCAACACAGGCACAGTTGTCCCATCCTGAGGATAACCATGGGCTGATGTTCAGCCTGGGCAAGGGCACCTGCCCCCTGGGGTCCACGTGCATTTTGTTGGCAGCTGGCATCTGTCACAGCCAAGGAGCACAACACAGGGCTGCTCCAGGCTGGTGCCCACTGTGCCACGCTGGGAGCACAGACATAGGCCTGGCAGGCATCTCGCCGTGGCCAGGTGACCAGGCAGCATTGTGCCACCTGATGCTGTGCCCCGCAGAGGCTGGAGGCTGCTGCTTGTCCAGGCACTACACTCCGTGCTGGGAAAGCTGCCCAGCCGTAACGCCGGCCCTGGGCAGGAGCGCCTGCTGTGCCCACTCACACAGCCCGGGCATGCCACGGGCCACCTGCAGCCTGTGCATCGGGGCTGGCCGTGTGTCCTAGGGCAGCACTTCACCTCCTCTAAACTGCTGCCACTGCTGCTGCGAGCCTGGCAGCAGCAGCAGCAGCCCCTCTGCCAGCACATGGGGCCGCTCTGCTCCCTCAGGCACGTGCCTTCCTCTTTGGGTCAAGCAGAGTGAAAGAGAGAAAACGCACACACAGGATTTGCATCATATCAAAATCAACCAGAGCCCTTCTCCTGCCTCCACCTCCAGCCTTTGCGGATGCCTGAGGCAGGGGGAGCCCGGCGGGGCTGGGCCGTGGGGCTGGGGGCTGCTGGCCGCTGCCAGCCCCGCTTCCCGCGAGCGACGCCAGGCCGGCAGCGCGGGCGGTGGGAACGCTGTACTCACCATATGGAGCCTCCATCTTAGCGCTTAGCTGGGTGCTTACATTGACCATGTCTCGCCGGCTACTGCTATGGGGACTTGGGGCGAAAACCAGAGGAAGTAGAGGAATAAAAAAGAAATCTAAATAAATAAATAAAAATGTCTCTCACTAAGGAACTAGGTGAAGGCAGGAGGGAGCGCGGAGAGGCAGGGCGAGGAAACCTGCCTCTCCTGTTATCTTATTGATTCGCTTAATCAGGGCTAATGTGGGTGGAGATGTTAAATAGTAACCAAGCTCTTATGGAAACCAATCTGCAAGGTGCCGTTGCTGTAGCTATAGTAACTGCTGCCAAGCTAGAAACTCAAACACGGCTTTTACTGGACTCTTTTGGGGCTCCCGCTTCCAGATGGTGTCAAGGCCAGGGCAGCCGCCAGGCTGGGGTTCACCCCCGGCCACGGGGAGCCGGGGCAGCCGGATCCAGCTCTGCAGTGCCCCAGGCGCTCGGGGTTTTGTGCCATCGCCCACCCAAGATGGGAAAACCAGGTCTGAGTCTGTGTACTGCAAAGGGCAAACCCAGCATGGGGGGCCAGGGGCTGTGGGATAATGTAGAGACTGGCAGGGGCAGAGCAGAGCCTGGATGAGGCACAAGGAGCAAAATGCCGAGGCCACAAGTCGAGGCTTGTCTGCCTAGTGCCAAACCAGAGGGGTTGCTTAGGGATGCTGTGGTGGGATGCAGGGTGATACCCTGAGCACAGCACTGGGCACAGGGTGCTTGCAGCTCCTCCATTTCTCTCTCTGTTACCCAAATCAGGGGTACTCATGAGGTGCCACAGCCACTTATGGTCATCTGTCCTCCCTCTGGGACTGCTGCATCCGAGACCTCATGGTAGGAGATGCTCAGGTGGGCTCCCCATGAGGCTGTGGCAGCCCCTGTGCCCCTGGGAGCTCCATGACAGGAGCAGTCTGGGCTGCAGGGGCTGTGCTGGGGCCACCAGGACCATGTGCAAGAAGTGCTGGAGAGAGGACAGCAAGTACGTGGAGAATCCAGAGCTGAAGCTGAAAAATTATTATCCATCAGCACAGAGCCTTCCATATCTCCTGTACATCTCAGGAAGAGGCCAGGCTGGAGGAGGCACAGAATGGTCCTTGCCAGTCTCAGGATCCTCCCAACACCTCAGCTATTGAAACCCTGCAGCCCCGAGGGGTCCAAATTAAGGATATCTGCTCCTCTGGAATGGAAAAGCACATCCCAAGGGAGCATGCGGTGGGGAGAGTGCTGCTGGATGCAGAGGGCTGCAGCACAGGAATCCACAGCTGGATGCTCAAATCCAAGGACTTGTAATTCAGCAATCCCTGAGTTTGCTGAGTGCTGAGAGGTCCTAAAGAGGGAGGGCGTGTGGATAATGGGGTTCTCAGTGGCACTCGGGGCGAGGTAGAGTAGTGGGATGGTGTGGGACAGCATGGGCGGGACAATGAGTTTGTGGCCCTCCAGCGTCATCATCAGCCCGTGTCCCAGCAGTGCTGGCTTCTCCCACACGATGGAGCAAAGCGCCCAGACATCTCCTGTGCCCGTAGCCCGTGGCCCCACTGAGCGCTTCTGCCTCCCCTTTGCTGCTTACACCCAAAACCAGAGCAAAGACACTGGAGCAGTGTTACCCCGAGGCTTCAGGCTGCGAGTGAAGGAGAACCAACACAACCATGGGGATCTCCAGGCTGCTTTATTGGGGGGCTCAGAGCTGGGGGCCCCACAGTCAGAGGGGCTGCTGTGAAGCAGGAGCATGCTCGGGGCTCTCCACTTATCCAGCTGCCCACCACGAGGGGAACATCTTGGTGGTATTCACTTACACCAGCCTCTGCCTTAGCACCGGGGAGGACAGTGGGGAAAGCCCCCTGAATCTGCAGAGCAGTGACCATGCCAGCCAGCCCCATTCCCTCCTTACACCCCTAAACCATCCCCATTTCAGAAAACAGGGACCTGAACTGTCCGTAGTTCCCCCAAAGTGGGAAGCAGCCAGGCAGCACTGCTGGAGACGTGTGTTAGAAAAGCATTTTCCTACATGGCATTAGGATGAAGCAGGTTGGACAGCCAGGCTGCCAGGGGGTCAGTGTTATAAATAATAATTCTTGTTCACCCCATCTCCATTCCCAGGGCTCCTCCTGGGGCTGCAGCCCTAGAACCAGCTGACTTGGTTGGATTTGACTCCGCTGAAGCACATGTTGTTGGAGCAGCCCCCGCCGTAGGTGGGGGGGCAGGCTGAGCACGGCCGCCCCACCTTGTAGGGCGCTTCTCCCAGCCAGTTGCCCCTAAAAAGAGAGGAGGGCATCACCTCTGAGCATCACCAGCCCGCTGCTGACACTGCTGTGGGGAGGGAGGATGGCACGGGGGGCTCTTCCCCAGTCACTTACTTGATGGCATAGTTGCAGACGAGGAGGATGGCGTGACGCCACGTGCTGCCCCACACCCGCACGTTGGCACAGCTGCCCAGGGCACAGCCCAGGCGGCTCGAGGTTGCCCACACCATCTATGCAGGACAGAGAATAGGCACTGTTGTTGTCCATCCACCCAGGCACCCCACAGCTGATAGCCCCAGGATGCCAGTACAGGGCTCTGTCCCCCCAGGGAATTTCATCCTAGCTGTCCCAATCTCTTCGGCTGGATGCTGTCCCAATCTCTTTGGCTGGATGCTGTCCCATCACAGGCAGGGCTTTGTTACCAAAGGGTGACTTTTTGCTTTCTCTCTCCTACCTGCAACCTGCACTGCCCTGCACAGGATTGCCTTGCCAAGCTCACATCCATAAGCAGCAGAGTCTGGGTCACTGCTCCAATTTATCCAAATTAGTACCTAAACCTCACACTGAATCATGACCAGCAGTTTACCCTGCACACAGGGAGGTCGAGCAAAGACAAAAGCTCCTCCTAAGCCTCTTCAGGTTAAATTTCTTCCATAAAAAGTGTATATTGCCTTTTTGCAACCAAGAGCATCTCTGAGTATCCTCATGGATGAGCCACATGGGGATGCAGATGCTCAGGTAAAGGTTGGAGCCATGAAGAAGAGGTAATTGGGGGTTGAGACAGTTCTGCTGCCAGGCAGAGAAACTGAGTTTTCCACCTTGTGCTGGCCAGGCTGTATGGGGATGTGCCAGGGGATGAAGGGGCTGCATTCCCAGGCCAGGGAGCCAGAAACAGCTGGGTGCTATGAAGCTGTTCCATCACAGAGAAAAGGATTCATGCTTGGCAAAACTACAAAGCAGCTTTTTTTTTTTTTTTTTTTTTTTTTTTTTTTTTTTTTTTTTTTTTTTTTTTTTTTTTTTCTCTTCACCACCTTGAAGTTTTCAGAGGTGCAGTGAGGAGAGAAAGGCCAAAGGAAGGGAAAAAAGCTATTTAAAAAATGGAAACCTCCAGAAGGTCCCAGCTGTATCTCCAGTGGGTTGTGAACCCCTGGAACCTTCCTGCAAGAGCCTAAATGCTGGAAAAGCCCAGGGTGGGAGGGCATTGCTGGCATCCCTCCAGCAGACACACTGCCAGCTGCCAAGACTGCTGCTAGAGCTGGCAGCCACCAGGGTTTGACCCTGGATCCCAGCTGCTGCTGGGAGAAGAGCTGTGAGCTGCACAAGACCCCCCTTGGGGTCTGGATTTGGGGGCTCCAGTGCTCACCTGCGTGTAGTGGCTGCAGACGGAGCCGCTGCATTTGGAGGGGCAGCGGGGGGTGCACTCGCGGGGCTGGGGGAAGGAGTAGTGCTGCTTCTCCTGGTGCCAGGATTTCACCATGTCCATGACAGAGCGGTACCTGCAACAGTGCTACAGGTAAGGTGGATCTACTCCACATCAGAGGTCTTGGGTGAAAGAAAGGAAAGGAAAGCTCCACACTGAGGAATTGGAGGAGAGAAACGGTTTGGAGTCAGGGCCCATTGGGATCAAGCATTCCTGGGAAAAAGGGGTAAGGATATTCTTGTGGCCAGCCCACTTGTGCTCAAGGCCAGAAGACTGGAGACATGCTCAGCCTTGTGGAGGAGATCCAGGACCCATATCCCCCTGATCCAGGTGCCTGGCAGAGAGGGAATAATGTCAAACTTCCCAAATGAGCATCAAGCACCTCTGCTTTCCTGTATTTACCCATCTGCAAGAGCTGCGCCCTCCTCCTCCACCCTGAGATCCTTGATGTGCCTCTCAGCTCTACCTCACTCCCATGCAGTGCCAGCTCAGAGCCCCTCTGCTCCTTGGCTGAGGGGCTGCTGCTCCTCCTGCAGCATCGTGGGGTGTGGGGTTTTCCCAGGAGCTCACTCTGCCTCAGGGCACTCACCTGCCCGATTGGATGGAGAGGTTCTGTCCCACATACTTCATCAGCTCGGGGGGGCCGTGGTCCCACAGGCAGCGTGCAGCCCACGCCTCCGCTGCCCTGGCCAGCCGCTCATCCCACACCTGGCCATGGGAGAGGGAAAGGGCAGGCAGGAGTTTTGGCTTCCCAGAGGAAGGAAGAGGAGAAACCTGCTCCCTTGTGCTGTGTGGGCTTTCTGAGCACCTCTGAGTGTCCAAGAACTACTGACTCATGCATCAGGCTAGAAAATGCCCAGGGAAAGGAAACACAGCAGCGTGTCCAGGAGGAACGGACCTCCCCAGCTACTGCCACAGCTCTGGACACGCAGCATGGCTGAGCAGGGATGCCCTGCAGCACTGCAAGCCCTGTGTGTGTGATTCCCTCCAGGAATGAGCTCCTGCACAAGGTGGAGCTGAGCACAGGGCTGAAACTCTGCAGCCCTGTTCTGCTGCTGCAGCTCGCAGCTGTCCCAGCCCTCAGTGCAGCCCTGGCCACAGCCTGACCGGTGAGCACAGCTGCTTCCTTCATGCATTATTTAAAGCTTCCTCACCCGTCCTGAACGCCTTTGGGGAGATGCCTGGGTGAGTTACTTTGGAAGGCAGGAATTTAGGCCAAGCAAGAAGCAGTGCAGGATGCTCCCGGGCATGTCTGACCTGTTCTGGTACCCAGCAAGCTGGGCTGCTCTGTTCTTCTCTAAACCACGTCCAGGGACCACCCAGCTGCTCCCTCAGAGCTGATCCCCTTCCTGGGAGCAGAGCAACATGTGGCACCTCTTGCCCTGAGGGTCCTGCCCTGTGTAGGCTGGAAATATCTCCTCTTGGAGGACCTTTAGGGCTGGGTGAGGGGCTGCAAGCAGGATGGACAGAACCTGGAGAAAGCTCTGCTCAGGGTGACCCTCATCTTGAGTTGTCCAGCCTGTCAAGACTGCACATCCCCTCCTTGACTCACTCCTGCACGTTTCTTCTTCTGGGAGCTGGAGCCACTTGGAACACTCAAAAGGGACTCTGGAGATTGTGATGGGATCATCCCTCACAGATGCAATCAGAGGAGAGGCTCCTACCTGGGTTTTGGTTTGGGACCTCAGCTTTGCATGCTTGTAGCCATCTCCCAGATGTCCCAGACACAGGCCCACATATCCTAAATCTGCCCTCATGGGGAACCATCTCTGTGCTGGGACTCCATCCCTCCTACACAGAGGCTGCATGGCTCTGCTTAGCCCCTGGGATAAAAAGAATCCCCCAGGGCACATGTTCAGCCAGGAATCTGACCAGCACCCTGACATCCCTCCTAGGCTGGGGCTCCCACTTCAGCAGTGAGCCCCTTGAGCCCATCAGAGCTGTGCACCCAAAACTCCCCTGCCACAGCCCGACTCACCATGTATTCCATATTGGCAGCAGGAGGGGACACCTGTGCCCGCACTTGGTTGTGATAGTCCAGAATCACACTCATGTCGTGGGGGGAGAGGTGTCGCTTCCGCCGGCCCCGCGGGACCCCCTCGGCCCACGGCAGCCCCGCGGCCGTGCCCTCGGGCGGGGACAGCAGCTCGGTGGCGTTGGGCAGCAGGAAGGAGCTGGCCAGCTGTGTCACCCAGCAGCCCAAGGCTGTGAGGTACAGGTGCAAGTGCAGCACAGCCATGCCAGCCCGCCCGGTGGGATCAGCCAGCAGATTTCTGTTCCCGCACGGAGTTCAGCAAGGGCAAGGGGGATTGCTGGTCCCTGCTGCTGGTGTGCAGAGCTAGGAGAGAAAACAGCACAGGCACCACTCAGGATTGCAGACACCATGCAAACACCATTTCCCAAAATAAGGTGGAAACAAGTTTTCTTCTTTTTTTTCCTATTAATAATAGTAGTTTTTCCCCTATTAAAAATAGTAATATTTAAAATGAATCTCTTTAATAACCTTATTTATCAGAGAAAATTCCCCAGGATTATCAGGGATATGCCTAGGGAATTGATTTTCTTGTCTGTTTTAAAAAAAGAGAAAATCAGTAGAAAGTCTCCCCCATTTTTTTCACTTATGGCACATACCTGTGGCACAGGGGATAGTTAGGAGAATGCTGACAGTCA